AGCCCTTTACCTCCTCTACGATAGCAGGGCCTGCCTTGATTCCAGGGTCAAGGGGGTGCTGAGCCTCTGCCCTCTCCCCACCCCTGTTACCATACATAGAGATGTCTGGGCCCAGAAGAAAGTGGAGGGACAGTCCCAAACACAGTGCCCTCCCTCACCAAAAGTCAGCACCTAAAGCTCAGGATTCCCCAGAGGCTGCGGCCTCCTTTCTGTCTCCAAGGAGCTGCCTGCCGGTGCAGAAGCCCCTCCCAGCCCTTCCCATACGGATCTGACTTCCCAGATGGTGATCCATTATAAGTAACACCCTCGCTAATGCTGAGAGGGGCTGCTGGTGCTGTGACTCATTTACCCGGCTGGCTTTCTCCCAAACTGAGGCACACAAATGCCTCGGACCTCAGGCCTGGTTTACTACTCAAGGGACCAGAGTTACTCAGCCCCAGGTCACTCTCCGGCATTTACTCCCAGGTGGGAACCCTACACCACCTCCCACAGCCTTCCTGACTCAGACCCTATCCCCCGCCCCCCATCTACTACCTCCTCCTCTGCTCCCTTACTCCTGTCATGTCTCCTGCTGTCCCCAAGCCCTAACTGAACACTAGTCCCCCAGATTTCAGCTGGCTCTCCCTGGAAAGACAGATGAAAACCCCAGAAAAGCCCCAAACTCCCTAAGTCCCTGGGGCTCAGCAGCATTTAAGAGGCTCACGCATTCCCAGCCCACAGAGGGATCCTTTAAAGAGGGATAGATACCCGGGTCACAGCTGGCTCTCAACCTGCCATGCGACCTCCCTTTCCCTATTTGTAAAGAGGGCACTCCCTGCCTTATGAGATTCTTACCCTTCACTTTGGCTTGGCCGGGGAGGGGTATGGGGGGGGTGGCGGTGCGCATGAGAGTGTGGAGATCCAAGCAGAAGCTCCTGGGACGTGGCCCAGTCCTGGACCCAGGGCTGTGACCATCCAAACACTTGTCTAAATATGAGCATATACATGAGAAACACCCCACCACTGATGTTTCACATCTGCAGAATTTCACAGAATTCGCTTGAGAATTAAAATGAGATAGTTATGCAAATGAAAGCAACTACAGATGCACAGATGCCCACTGACAGAAAAACAGCAACACCATTGCTGGCCTCAGATAAAAGCTCAGACAGCCCCACCACCACCACTACATTACATTTGGCACTCCAAAAACTGGCCAGCCCCTGACCGAGGCCACAGCACTCACTTTCCTAACTCTGAAGAAAGGCACTTTGTTGAGCACAGGAGTATATCAGCAACTGCAGACCTGCCCCACTGGTCAGCACAGACAGCAGCATGGCAGGAGCTTATTCAGTGCGGGCTTGGGAGCCCGTTCAGATCAGGCAGAAGCCCAGGCACGAAGCTCTGCCAGGATCTCCATGGTGATCCCGACACCCTGGACCCAGAAGGCACACCTCTCTTCACATGTGGCAGCCCCACTTCCGTGCAGCCCACATCCTTCCACGAGGGCAGCCGGTCTACCAGGCCACACGGGGCAGTTTCAGTCCAGCCACTCTGGGTGTCTGAACGTAACCAGTCCCTTTTTAAACCTGGTCTGTGACTCAGAGAGGGTGATAAAACTCCACCGCCTGGCACCCGTCTCCAACACCCAACACCAAGCTGATAGGATTACCAACGGGAGAGGTTAGTTTAAAACAAACCACTTCCTCATTTTCTAAGCTGGTGGCTTCTAGAACCCTGGACACAAAAAGCCAACCACGATTTCCATTCGATGGTTGCTTTATGGTTCATCCAGATCATCAAGTCTGCCTTTCATTTGAAACTCCCCCATTTTGACCTCTGCAGGCATAAAGAGAAGAGGAGGGGAAGGTGGGGAAAGGCCTGAACCCCAGAGATGGGAGGCTGGGGAACCTGCTGGGCAAAATCCCACCCAGAGGGTCCACGGCACTGCTCCCTGAAGCTTCATCCTGCCCCACGCACATCACTAGCTGCCTGCAGGGGAGGGGAGTCCACAGAAAGGCCACGGCCATTCTCTCTGCTCCTCGCCCCTTCACGTCTAACCAGTGTAGAGGTGCAGAGGTAGATGGGCCAAATTTGGAAAATGGACTAGTGAGTAGCCTGGAAATCCAGGCAGTGTAATATAATACTGAGAGCTGGAACTCTACGGTCTGACTCCCTCAGTTGTGACCGTGGGCAAGTTACTCAATGCTCCCCCATCTGAAGAATAAGGATGATAACCTTGCTTCTGATTATTTTGATGTCCAAATGAGCTAACTAATACACAAAAAGTTCTTTACGTGTGTATCTGGCCCACAGTGAGCTCTGTATGTTATCACCATCCTCAATTAGCTATCTTTTTCAGACCCCTCAGTGGCTTTGGGCAAGGACAGGTATGGTCTGGGGGGTGGCCAGCCAGGTGGGGCAGCCAAGGTGCTGCTAATGGGATCCTATGCATAGGAGGCCCAGGAGGGTAGATAGCTGGCCCCAGGGGGCATCCAGGGTGGCAATGCCCTCCAAAGCCCCAGACTGACAAATGGTCACCAGAGGTACAACCACAGAAAGGACTTCCAATGGCCACAGCTCTAGAGTGAGTCTTCTCAGGAGCTCGGAATCCAGAGCCAGCATCCTGGGTACTACCACCAAGGAACACACAGTCCTTGATCATGATGGTGACCTCCTGTCACAGTCCCTTGCACTAGAGAAAAAGAGAACAGCTCAAATGTCATTCACTGTCCTTCTCAAGCCAAGACTCCTGCCCTGGAAGACTCCATCATCTCATATCTTGCTCCTCCATGTGGCCTCAGCACTCCTGACAGGCCGTTCTCGTTTGCCAATGAGTGAAACCTGCAGTTCCTCCAATGAGTCTCCCCAGGTTGGCTAAGGCTGTGAGCTTCCCTGGGCGAGGCCTCGGAGGAGGGCATGCAATGCCCCTTCCCACCTAGAGACACCTCTTCCCCGCCTAGGCACCCCTCCCCCAGCATTCCTGCACTGCCCTGAGTGCACTTTCCCACCTTATCCAACTGGCAAGATCCTATTCATTCTTCAGAGTCCCCTTCAGATGGCCTAACCTCCTCAGACAAAACAAACAGCAGCCCACCCCATGTTCCCAAAGCTCTTTGCAACAAACACACTAAAGCCTACGTCCTGATGTATGACAGTAGCCAGTTTGTCTCCATTCCCATGAGACAGCACCCTGTCCCTCATGAACCACACCACATGGGCACTGGGCACCTCAGTACTCAAGGAAGCCCATGAGAAGGCTGCCTTTAAACTCCACTTATGAAGTGCCTCACAAGGCCTCCTGTGGGCGCTGACCCTGTACCTCTTCTCTCCCTGGGCAGGAGGGACAGAACACACACATGCCCGGCAGCAATGAAAGGCTTGACATCTATCCTCTTCCCAAACAAGGCCTTACTAGAGCTCTGCCCACCTGAACTTTTAAAACCAGAAGTCCCTTTCCCATTTTCCTTCTGGCTCCAAAACCAGACTATCTTCCAGGAACAGTCACTGATGACTTCCAGTGGACACTCAGGGCCCTGGTTCAAGGTCTGTCTCAAGATGGCACAGACCAGGGGCGCCTGGGTGGCTCAGTCGGTTGAGTGTCTGCCTTTGGCTCAGGTTGTGGGATGGAGCCCCCACTTCCAGCTCCCTGCTCAGTGGGGAGCCTGCTTCTCCCTCTCCCTCTGCTGCTCCCCCTGCTTGTGCTTACACCCAAGCGCTCACACTCTCTGTCAAATAAATAAATAAAATCTTAAAAAAAAAAAAAAAAGGCAGAGACCAAGGCCCAGGAGAGCCTTCCCCAACTCAGAGCCTGCCACTTGCCCCAGTGGGTGGAGATGGAATGTGGACAAACCACATCCTTCAGCAGCTTCCCCAGCTCCCTTCTATAGAAAGAGACCAGCTGAGATGCCACCAAGTGAGGCTTGGGCAGACAGATAAGATTTGCAGGAAGGGCAGGCAGGCTTGGCAGTGGAATTAGGCAGTGGAATTAGGTAGTTGCCTGTAAATGTGGGGGCGCTTTGTGCTGGGTTTCTCACCTGCTCCTCAACCCTTTCCAGACCAATCCAATCCCAGAAGGCCTTACCTGTGTTCCTCAAGCTCATCCCCCACTGTCACCACCACTGTCCCTCCGCGACCCCAGCAAAATCCCTGCCAGCCCAGCCACTTTGTAGCTGAGGGCTTTAGGGCTCTCCCAGGGTCCCCTGGGGTCACAAAGTCATTCAACAAACTGACTTCTACCACCAGCCAGTATATGCATGTAATTTCTAACAGTTCTAAGACGGGCTCTCTGGCCACACTGAGGCAGGGGAAGTAGGGAAAAGTGCCCGAGACCAGAGTCCAAGGTCTGCGTCTGGATTTAGGTTCTGGATCTGGTGCTGGACAGATGTGTGACCTGAACTCGTCCCTTCCCGTCGGTTTTTTCCTCTCAGAGGTTGGACCGGCAGCCGCTAGTCTCACCGTCTTAAGTCCTCAACTCACCACCCCCGCCACCGCACCCCGGCCGAGGCCCCACAAGCCGCCGGCCAAACCCGAAGACTCGCTCCGAGAGGAGACAATAAAGCCATCTCTAGCCTACCCAAGGAGAGGGCCGCTCCGGCCATTAGCCACTGGAGAGAATCCGAGGGCCGCGCGCGGGCCCCGCTCCGGCTCCCCAGGGTCCCCCTGTGTCCCCCTTCCTCCGGGGGGGGGAAGCCCTTCCGGCGGTGTCCCGGTCGCGAGGACCCAAGGAGGGGCCCAGGCGGACGGGAGGCGGGGTGAAAGGCTGCCTCGACGCCGGGGGCCGAGGGCCGGCAGGCTCTAACCGCAGGGGCCCACGGGGCGCTCCGGGCGGGGTGGCACCTGGCGGCGTCGCCTCCCCTCCCGCCCTCCGGCTCCCACCCCCGGGCGCAGGCGGTCTGGGACTGTGTCTGGGAGGGTCGGGCCGCCGGCGAGCACTGAGCCATCCCGTCGCCCGGCAAGCAGGGGCTCCTAAGCTTGCAGCTCAGCGCAGACGGCCGCGCGGGGTAGCGGGGTTTACTCACCCACCCAGCGGCCGTGGCAGCAGGTCGAGAGGCTGGCAGGGGGGCGGGGGGCCGGGGGCCGGGAGCCGCGCTAGGCGAGCCAGCGGCAAAGTCCCCGGGGCGCGCAGTACGCAGCCGCCGCTCTCCCACTTCCTTTATTTCCCGCCCGCCACGGCCGACCCCGCCCCCGGCCCGCCCCCCGCCGGCGCCTACTGGGAAACCCCCACGCGCGGTGCGGGAGCCCGGTCCCTAGAGCCCGGCTGGAGACCGCGACTCCCGCCTGGCAGATCAGCCGCGGATACCGTGGACTTCCACCCTCAGACAGTGGTCCCTATCAAGGTGGCCATCTGGGGAGGTTGGTCACGCATTCCGGCGATGCAGGGATTATTCCTAATGTTCCTTGCTGGGAAGGGCTTTCAGAATCCTCACGAGCTGTTCTTGGAGTAGCCGGGTTGCGGGGCGGGGGTTTGCGATTCCCGGTAATAACCTCATGAAGCCATTCACCAGTGCCTGTGCCCAGATATCGCCACAACGGCACAGCCAAAGCAGAACCACGTGACTCCCAACAAAAGAGAAAAACAATCAGGAAAACAACTTTCTGGAAATCACGACAAAACAAATAGGACTATGGAAGTTACTACACCTGAACAGAGTAGTATAAACTGAATTTTATATTTTTAAAGATTTTATTTATTTGAGAGAGAGAGAGAGAGAGAGCACAAGCAGGGGGAGGGGCAGAGGGAGAAGCCGGTTCTTCCCTGAGCAGGGAGGGAGCCCGATATGAGGCTCAAATCCAGGACTCTGGGATCATGACCTGAGCCACCAAGGCGTCCCTAGAAACTGAATTTTAAAGAAGAAAAAGATTGGAATGAAATACAACCAAAAATCATCACAAGGTTACATTAAAATAATAAAAATCACAGTGATTTTTTTTTTTTTTTTACTTCTCGCTTTTTTGTGTTTTCCAATTTTTCTGAAAGGACGGTAGCATTAATTTTACAGTGACTGAAAACGATTATAATGAAAATCACATAATGGAATGGTTTGTTAAATTTAGGTAGCATTATCTGTATTTCAAGTTGATTTCTTTATCAGAGCCGCATGTCCAAGTGATTGAAGTATAAATAGCAAGTAATATTTTGTAAAGGGGCTGTCTCTGAGGTTTCTGGCAGCCAAAGCAAGAGAGGTTAATTTCACAATTCTATAAAGAAAGAATGGAACATACCAATTTCCACTTCAAGAGTGTCCAACCTTGGGGCGCCTGAGTGGCTCAGTGGTTAAGCGTCTGCCTGTTCGGCTCAGGTCATGAACCCAGGGTCCCGGGATCAAGCTCTGCATCAGGCTCCCTGCTCGGCAGGAAGCCTGCTTCTCCCTCTCCCACTCCCCCTGCTTGTGTTCCCTCTCTTGCTGTGTCTCTCTGTCAAATAAATGAATAAAATCTTTAAAATAAATAAATAAATAAATATATTTCCTCCAAGGATGACCTCTTTGAAAGGGGCACAGGATGCCTGAGATCAGAGTACAAATGACACATGGGTAGTCCCAGTTCGACACTCTCTCCCTGGGGAGGCAGATGCAGTGCATGCTGGAGTCAGAGGGGGCAGAGGCTGTGTGCCGCACCCAGGACAGACCCTCTTCATTTGGGCACAGGGTCTGGCCTACCTAAGCTGTAAGTCACTTCTGGCACCAGTACGTTTCTAGGACTATAAATGTGTTTCTCATACTGTATGAGGACCAACTAGGCTATATCATGCTCCCCAAGGAGCAGTTCCCCAGTGCAAACTTCTCATCAGGAGTTGTTTAACTTCTAACCCTATGCAAATAACTAGTAATCCTTCCCATCTCAACACTACTCAACTCTCCTGATTGCTCAGCACTTCTGATTGCTAAACTTTGAATAATGGTTGAAATACTTCTCTGTCTCCCTACACAGGACTCTAAACATGATTTCATTTTTTCCATGCCTCCAGCCACCTTCTCTAGCATGGCCTCCTGTCCTGTGAAACGCTGCTCTGGCTCTGGGCAGCACTCTCGTGTTCCGTCTCCAGAAGATGCGTGTCTGCTCACTGATCCATGCATCCCCAAATATGGTGGTCACAGCAGTGCTGCCATGAACATTCTCCTACCAGTCTTTTTGTGTACATATGTTTTCAATTCTCTTGAGTATAATACCTAGGAGTGGCACTGCTGGGTCATAGGGTGAGGAATGTTCAACTCTATTACCAACAGCCAGTTTTTCAAAGTGGCTGTACCCTCTTGCACTTCCACCAGCAGCGTGTGAGCATCCCAGCAGCCCCACGAATCCCTGTGTCTCACCCCTGCACCACCAGCACCCTGGTCCATGCCACCATATCCCCCTATCATAGAAATAGCTTCCTAACAGGGAGGGGCTCCCTATATTCTTCCTCCTTTTATAAAATGTCAGATGGTGTCATTCCACTCTTTAAAGTCCTTGATGGTTTCCCAAGGCTTTTTTAACAGCCTCCAAAGTCCTATATGAGCTGCACCCTCTTTAAGCTCAAATCCTACCACCGTCCCCTTATTATTTTGCCTCAGCCCCAACAGCCTCTGTGCTTTCCCTGGGCCTGGCTTCATTTCCTCCACAGCATCTCTCACAACCTGAAATATTCTATAATTCTTTGTTTGTGTTGGACTGTCTCCCCTCACTGGGAAATAATCTCCACTAGGAGGACAGGGACTTGTTTTATTCATGTTCTTGTCTTGATCCCTAAAACAGCATTTGGTACTCACGGGTGCTCAACAGATGGAATAACTGTGTCGACAAGAAAAGCAGCAGGTGGTGTCAGGTGCCGTGCAGAAGACTGAACAGGGCACTGCGAGGGCAGGTGAGCGATGGGTGGCTCAGAAGCTGGATCATCTGATGCCTGAAAGTCAGAAAAGGGGAGCAGATGTGACAGGAGGAGGCAGAGCGTTGTGGACACAGGAAGCATCTACAGCAAGCGTGCCAACGCAGGAAGGAGCCCGAGGGAGCTGGTGCCTAGCGGGTGCAGGGTGACAGCAGGGAGGCTTGGGGACAGGCTCGGTGAGGAGTTGGGTCTTATCCTAAACGCTGTGGGGGTCACTGACTTTGTCCTGCAGGGTGGGATCTATGCCAATCGGCCCCCAAATTCGTTGTGTCTCCTATTTAGCTTCTTGCAGTCAGGGTAGCTTCTCTCCCCTCCAATCCCCAGTTCTAATTTGCTGCTTCTGTTATGCTTTGGTCTTTAAAATCTGTCAGCATTGTTTGTAAATTAAGAGAGTATGATGCTTCTCACAAAGGCAAGTCTATAGGGTCAGGAAACCTAGCAGTGGCTGCCAGCCATTGGAAGGGGAGGGACTCTAAGGGAAGACTGGAATGATGGAATATTTCTATATGCTCCTTGTGGTGGTTGTTACACGAGTGTATACTTTTGTCAACATTCATAGAATTCCACACTAACAGGTGAATTTTACCGTATGTAAAAATAATAACTTAATTCAAAAATGAAACTGTAAATACACAAATAAACAAGAGAGAATGATGCTCTTAGTAATGAAGACAGAACACAGCACCCATGGGATGCCTGGGTGGCTCAGTCGGTTAAGTGTCTGCCTTCGGCTCAGGTCGTGATCCTGGGGTCCTGAGATGGAGCATCAGGCTCCCTGCTTAGTGGGAAGTCTGCTTCTCCCTCCTCCTCTTTTTGCCTTTCCTTCCCCCTCTCTTTGCGCCCCCCCCCCCCCCCCGCTCATGCTCTCTCCCTCTCTCTCAAATCAATAAATAAAATCTTAAACAAAACAAAACAAAACACCCAGTGAGGTTTTGGATGAAAGGGTGTAGGAAGCTAAGCAGTCTGACTTCAGTTTCAATTTCCCTGAGGTTTCTCACTGTTGCTTCCTGCTGCTGGGCCACTCCTCCTACGAAACCCCAACCCCCTTCCTAAGTTCCTTTTATTGCAGCAGAAAGAGGATGGCATTTTCAAAGACATCTTGAAGGGATGCTGTTTGAAAATGATTATTTCTGAAACCCATTGTTACGGGCTGAATTGTGTCCTCAAATTCATCTGTTGAAGCTCTAACCTCCTAGTCCCTCACAGTGGGAGTGTTTTTGGAGACAGGCTCTTTAAAAAGGTAGTTAGGGTTAAATGAGGCCACTGGTGTAGACCCTAATCTAATATGACTGATATCTTTATGGGAAGAAATTAGGACACGGACACCCACAGAGGGAGGACCATACGGAGGAGACACAGGGAGATGGAAGCCGTCTATAAGCCAAGGAGAGAGGCCTCAGAAGAACCAACCCAGCCAATACCTTGATCTTAGACTTCTGGCCTCCAGAATCGGGAGAAAGTTGATTTCTGTTGTTTATGCCCTCGGGTCTGCTGTACTTTGTTACGGTAGCCGGAGCAAACTCATACACCCACTTCTAGCTATGAGTCACCTGTACCCAATCAGAAGGGGCTGGGTTTCTTTCCCTTTTACTGTCTGTGTTCCTTGCCAGGTGACCTTCCTCTTCTGGTTCTGGGGAGGTCTCACACATATCTTACTGATGAGGAAGCAGAAGGCAAGCTGAGGACAAAGCACAAGCTGACACCCCACAACCCTCCCGCACCCCCACCCCCAGGTGGGATCTGTGTGACATTCCTCAGTCACTCCTGGTTGCCCTAAAGCTAAGGGAAGGAAAACAAATGGTTAACTCATAGAGATCACAGTCCTGCAAGACGTGAGTCTCCTTCAGTTTACAAATGTCTTAGTGATTTACAAGGAAAAAGCGTTCTTATCAATAACCTAACTTTCAGAAGGAAATGTAGATAAAATTAAATGTCCTTATAACCTGCAGCCCATTGACAAATACTTGAGGCAGGCAGAGTTTAACGTTCCTCCAGGAAGCTCCCAACTGTCTTAATGTTAATACCTTACTAGAGGGAAAAAGAACCTTGACGGTGGCAAGGCCTCCAGTACCTTCTAAATCCTCTTTAACATATGAAAATTCTTTAGAAAGCCTCTCTTTTTCCTTACCCCCAACTCCCAAGTCACCCCTTACAACCCCGGTGCAGCAGCTCTTTCTGCCCATGGGTCCTGTCCCCGTGCCTTAATAAAACCACCTTTTTGCACCAAAGATGTCTCAAGAATTCGTTCTTGACCATCAGCTCCGGACCTCACCTACATTCAAAACTAC